GTCACAATCGTAAAATGTCCCTATATAGGGAAGTATGGTTTACAAAAAAAAACAAATGGAACGTTACTCTACACAAACGGGTATACTTACTCTTTAGGAAAATCTGACGGATAACCCACTTTAAATGGCCAGGGAACTCTATCACTTGCTCGCGCGTACTTTTTAAATGGACTCCAAATATTCGGTGTAGATTGATCAAGGCTCTGCATGCTTTCGGTGCAAAACATATCATCAGCCACCAGCCAATCCTATCCGTTTTTCTCTGTGCAGAGGAATTCTTAGCGGATGGAAGCGTTGTATTTCTTCTTTGGATACCTTAACGTCACCGTAGTTGGATACATTCTCGCTCAATACAACGCTGAGGCATCCGTGTTCTCTAATCTGCACTGCAGGCGCGAAGCTTGCCAATAGACGTTAGGTCCCTCCCCCCGTTTCATCAGTCTAACCTGATTTCTTGTACTTATCGTGGTGGTATCAAACTTTTGCTCATTTTTGAGGCTGCATAAAAGGTAGGTTACATTTTCTACCAGGGTACTCGCATACAGTATACTGTTCTGAATGAGGCTAATAGTTACACGAAACGTTCATCTGCCAAGTTGTATATACTTGCGTTCTTCGATCAAAGGAATTGTGAAAATGCTGGCTATTCCCGTTGTAACCATACCATAACCTTCCATATTCTGTAAAATTCTACCCGGGAAATTCCGATTCTGCTTCTAGCCACAACTTTTTCCCTGGATAGCATTCATCTTTCCATCTTAGCCCATGCCCTACAGGCGGTTTTTCCGAACACAGACGCACAGCTGAATCGTCCATCAAACAATCAATCAACAGTTATGGATTCGCAAATGAATCCGTGGGTAGGCCTACTTAAAGCGCGCAATTAGAGCGGAGTGAACAGTTTTCCTCTTGGATAAATCATCCCTGATTATGACCACCTCACTTCCAACCAGCTGGCATTATCTAACCGACTCGTCCACATCCCACTGAAGACTGTTCGGCTTAAGGTCAACTGACTGTATTATTTACATCGGCCTACGAAAATAAAAATCCAGGTTTAATACACCTGATATAATCAACTTGGCCAGCGCTGACCAGAAAACCTTGTGAGCAGCTAAAAACCACACATACCTATATGATGGAATAATTTTTATAATCCAACTGGTAGTGACAGGCATCCTGTAGCCCACCACATTATTCTTCCTCAAGTCATTGTGAGTATGCACAAGGCCGGAAGTCTCAGCTTGTTGACATGTTGCTTAAAAGAGCGGTTAAAACGCAATACGATGGATTAGGTAAAGAAGTTGTCATTAGCAAAGGTAATACTGGACACAGTCAAGGGATGACAACTAAGCGCAATTTAATATCGCGACCGGAAAACTGTAGTTGATACGTACAACAAAGCAAGCTGACCCCACACAAAATTTATTGGGCATTTGGCCTCAAGCATCATTAAAGGTTTGTTGGAGCTTAGTTTACTGAACCGCGTTCATTAGGGGTCAATGGTTACCCGTCGCTGTTGCCTTGTTGGATGTTGGATAGGCCACTATCAACTTTCGATGTCTCCTTTTACAGACAGAAATAAGGCAACTAAGGGAGGTGAGAGCCTGAACATTCTGAATGTGGGAAAGATTGGTTCGCAGAACCGGCATTCCCTCTGAATTACGTGAAGATGTACTTATGGTGTACATTTCAAAACCAGGTGATTCTGAGCAGGACTAAGAAGTGGAGCGGACAGTGTTCTGCTTTGCCCTCGTTATGTATTAGGTATAAGAACTGTTGAGCTGCTCAGTTATGGGATTCTGATACCCTAAAGAGGACCTGAGAATGGTATGGGGGAATTAACGCTGAGCACACGGCTTCTTGAGTGACCTCTGCCTCGTTTCCTCACTTCGAATATCTTCTTCCTGTATGCTTTGATCCGTTTTCTGGTGGTGTTTGCATTACTTCTGCGCTTCGGGCATCCAATATTTGCACTTCCTCTGCATTACTCGATACTTCTCAAGTTTGTTATCAGTCGTCAAGAGTGGCTATCATGCTGAACACCCGTGCGAATTTTGATTGAAGATAAGCATGCGTCGTAGGTGACAGCCGGCAGTTATTTCGAAAGGTTTTGTTCCGTTTAACGAAGTTGGTGACATCTCAGTCACACGACTATTTCCCAGTTCGACAATTAAGCCGTTGATATTTCGAAACGGGGGCAAATATAAACTATACAGAACAGCACGGTATGAGAATTGGCAGTGTATTCGCCGCATCCAGAGTTTGTTGGATTTCAGCCAATTCTAATTTCAATCAGTTCTAATAATTAGCTAAAGCCAGCCACGACGATTCTTACAACCTTGCTTCTAGACATCTCTAGTGGTTTTAAGTGAAAAATGCTATCGGTCGGTATACATTCGCCCCTTACTAGTCTCACCTAAACCAACTACCAATGTCAAGATCTGTGGAGATTATGCGATCGGTGAACTCCCCTGCCGTAAAAATTCTTATGCTAACTGCAGGTTTTTACTCACCAGTCAAGAGTTTTCGGGTTATGGTTGTAACTGCAGTTGTATAAGTGCAACAATTGTAGTAGCTTAATTTTGGCCCACCTTTGCTTCCTGTTTTGCAGCTTATATCTTTGGAACCGAAAGAAGTCGTAAGTTCAACTTCAAGCTTGTTTGAATCACTTTGTCCAAATGTGGCTCGTAGTCTCTTCGATATCCTACAGGTCACACATCTTGCACATTTTATTTTAACCCAAAAGTCTAAATCATGTCCCAACAGTCTGAGTGAACATTCGCATGTTAAACGATATTTATCTATTCTGACGAGTGCATGATACCCGGTCACTCACGTGTGAAACTTGATTGTGATGAACAGGTACTACTGTACTGTAAGAATCAACTTCCCGCAGACAAAGAAAGCAAGACAAAATCATATTTCCGCCAACTCTCTTTGGAACTTGTTTTGGAATTGTTGTCACCCAGGTTCCATGAACACTAGTTAAGGCACGACTTAATAAATAGTCATTAATCAAGCGCGGTTTTCGCAATTTTAAACCCAAAAATTTGGAACTTAACTAGCCTTCAGCATATCTTTCACGCAAAGTAGAACCAAAACTAAGATATCTGCGTCTTATTTCATGCACACTTGGGCTACGCCAGTCCCCAGCAGTCAAAAGGCCTAGACTATTGATCCACTAACTCCGAGTAAGCTTGTTCAAGAATATCCAACTACCAACTGCCTTTAGCGTCAAAGGTTGCGGTGAGAGTACCGGAACGAATCCCTACGTTATCTCACTGCTTTATGCGTCGGACTTTTGAGTCAAAAGCCCAAGGTGGGTTACCCCAGATGAGCCCTATTCGTCGTCCTGGGCAACCGGCAGGTATCATTCACCCTTGAAGCTCTTCCTTCACCAGCCCTTACTAACCGCCTCCCCACGTTTCAACCGGTCTACTGCGGTCAATCCATCTGCCAGTCCCCTGGCCATTTTTCTGCGTCTGAACTATCGCCTAGAAAAATAAGACAAGATAAAACCTTGTGCAATGCCGAAAACCTGATCCATGCTGCATCATTCAGAGCTGGAATTTTGCTTTCCATTTTCATCGATGTATGTTGTCTCCAAAGCTTGAATACAAGAACCCACTTCTGTCGTTCACCTCAGGTCGCTTAGGACGAGCTCGGATGTTTCACATTTCACTCTTCGGTCATCTGGTGACCCTGACGCAATGGCTTGCGGTGTTTATGATGTGAGGCTTTCACTCAGCCACAGGGCCAGACGCGCTTTACTGGACTGAATCTCAGTAAATGTCATCTGCGCGCTTTACGGTTGTCTTGTCCAATCCGGATCAATGCATGTCAATGCGATAAATGACATTTATTTGCTGTGTCAAAATATGCCCTGACAAACTGCAGTTCTGAGACTGGAGAAGCTGGATTTTATCGACATCTGTCAAGAGTGCTGAGATCAGCAATAATGGGCACTATCATCCTGCTGAGTGATACGACCGCTCAAGTTTGGATTGTGTCGCGAAGAAGAATCGTTTAATGGGTCTCACTAAACTCCGTACTGACGATGTCATCTCGACTGGTGACAAAGTTTTCGCAGTCAAATTGCCAATTACCTTCAGCGGTGTGCTGAACACCTTTGTTCCTTGCCAGTACGAAATTTTAGCACCAGCGCCCACATCGAGTTACGTGGCAGCTATGTCTTAAGAATTGAGGAAAACATAGTAGAGTTATGCCATTACGCAGATGACGCATTTGATTTGAGGCCTGGAGGCAGTAAACTTTTCATTACTCTGGCTTTGGTTTATAGTGAGCTGTCCGCAGTCACAGAAAACACCTGAACCGAGTTTCTTCAGTTGCCAAGACCTAGATGGCGACGCACACAGACGGAACAACGCATACTACACATCCTTCCTGAAGGAAAATTTAGGCGGATTTTTCACTTTTCTAGGTTGATATGTGTGATACTGAGCGTCCAATTTGAAGCTGAGGCAGCTCTTGTTAAGTTGGGACTTGATTTAGCATCTAACACCAACATGACTTATAGATAAGTGCAATTCACCACAAGGTTGTCACATACCTTTATTACGCAGTGTAGTTATCCAGCATATATTCAATAGATTTATATGAACTTCAGGAAACAAACGACCACTGTTCTGAATAGACTAGGTTTCACTGGGTGGAAAATCATTTCATAGATTGTGTAATTTACCACTCATAAGGTGACTGAAAATCCGTCGACGACCGGTTTCGCCCTTTTGGGGCTCATAAGTTAGGCGCAGTCCCCGAGTTTCCGTCAGCCTTATGTTCTACTTGAAACCAAATTGCACGAAATTAGTGAATATACACTCATTTGTAAACTAATTTGGGTTTTCGAGAGACTCACCTGGAACCTAGCTGAGTCTCTCGTTTGTGATGTTTTCGGGCATTTCATAGATTCTCCTCACTGTACTGTCCCACCGGCAAATATCACTGCAGAAATATTTCCGACTTCGATGTCCGGTGGACTGAGTGCGGACAATTTCCTCCGTTATGATGCCGATGTGCTACTGTGACTTTAGTGACGTAGCTGATGCTGTTGGTTAACATACCTTGCCTGATCTGGTTGACTGAAGGCGAAGAGAATGCGTCAGTATGAGCTGAACATGCCACGCCGAAAAGGCTTTTCTCCATGACTGTCGCTCAGCTAAGTGTATTCACACAACACCGCGGATCACGATATTTACTCTGTTCATTTCAGCGTCCTTGTTTCCAATGTATCCATGAATTGGGATACTGGCAAGCCTACAGCTTTGGTGATTGGTATCTAATACGCCCGCGATCGAACTCTTTGTTGATGTTCCATGATTTCGCAGCTCTGTGGCTAGATGTTACCGCAAATGAGAACCTTGCCAGCTCCACCTGGACTCAATCAGTTCTGAACGCGTTTCTGTTGACACGTCTTGACAAAGGAAACAGATCAGAAAATGTGCAGCTTCCTTTGCTGCCAACTGGACAAAATAGCTCTGCGCTGACCACGACAGAAAACCCAGGAATTGAAAACACGCAATTCTCATCACTGCCGTCTTCACTGTCCAACGAGACTTTGGACAACCTCTCTGTACACCAACTGAAGTGTGACTCGTCACCCGTGGACCGTACTGGTATGTGCGCATCTTGTAGAAACTGCTAAAGTGATTAAATTCAGAAACGTGAACGACTTCTAAGGATTTTAAAACACTGACCAGGTTATTCAAAATCTTCCATTTAAATTGCTGTGAAAAAAGAAACGTTTTACTTACGACACCGTACTTCGGGGCGTCTGCTTGTTACGATTTCTTCACATTTCAGTGTCAGTCGACATGGATACGAATATTAAAACGCGGGTCAAAAAGGACTTCTCGGTTACCTTACCACAAGCCCTTCACACTACGAGAAAACCATTAGGCTTCACTTCACCAGCAGAGTTCTTAATACCTTCTTTGAACGACACACTAAGTTGGATACCTTCTTTTTTGTCCCGGCTACTACTTGGCTTGTTTTGAAGAGCAAACGGAGTGTATTTGACAGATAGCAAGGAACACTTCTTAGGGGCAAAATTCTGCGGCACAGTTATCAGGCCGTTCTGCTCACACAATTGATCAGTCCATAACAGAAAAGAAAGGGAAGATGGGTCATCAACTCTGCAAGGAGCTGTGTTCAACTGCGTGGCATGGCATAAGAGTCTACTTTAAATGGCGCGCTCTGGAAAATGTCTTGATGTCGTGAACAAGTTGATGGCAAGAATGCAAAAATGCAGCAGCTCTTAAATTTTCTGGGGTCCTTAAACCATATGACAAACTCAATAACCTTCTCACCCTTAATTAATGTGCTGAAAGGGTGAGTCGACGTTAGTAGCATATCGCTGAGCCATTACTTCTCAATCGTTCAATCTATCATCTTCATAACTTGTGACGAAATTTTTGGGCGCATTTCACCTGCACTTCAAATCAGTGAAAAACTTCTTACACTTAACGTGAGATTAGTTCTGGTAAGTCACCCTAATAATCATATGTGACAACCATCGTAAGCGCTAATCTGTCTATTTGTTATGGTTTCTGACAATGTGAAGCGGCCCTATCGGGCAAATCTTCTACTTCAGCCAACTGAAATTGCACACTCCCACCCCACACAATGCTAGCGTTGGAATTCTTTTGAGTTTCTGCACTTATCTCAGCATGCTTTTCGACTGCCGCAATGAATTATTTAGAAGTTTGAAGATGTACTTCACTGGTCTCGTCACTTGTCTCTTTTAGACGTGAGTTCTGGGCTATACTATTGTCTGATTGTGGTGGTCACCACATTTTCCAATGTCCCGCTAAGGTCACAGTTGAGGTACGTATAGCTTAGTCGCTGGATAGAAATACTGTTGTAACAAAATTTCTATCCAGCCGCTAAGGCTACACTAATGATTTTCGCGCTTCGTGAAAACCGAGGCGATATGGGATAACAGCATAAAATAGACACAGATGTGACAGCCGTCTGTCTGGCCAAACTGACAGGAGTGTTGATAATCAACTTCAGTTCTGCATACTTTAAAATGTGCAGATATGAAGTAATAAGTGGATATCAGTAAACCAGTCGGAACGTATTGTCATAATAACCCGGGCCAGTACTTCCGGCATTTTCTTTGTTCTGCATTGAAACCCTGTCTTGGGAAATACTAAAATGTCCTTTGTAAGCAAACTGACCACTACTTATTTAGACCTCTGGTGAAGATTTTCATAAAGAGAATAAGGTCACTGTTTTGATAACAATAATTTATAACTGTTACTGGAATGCCTAAGGCAATAGGCCAAAGTTACTTTTGAAATGACTGAAAACTTGAGAGCGTAGATAACACCGGAAAGGCGATTCCGAAGTAGCCAGAACTGGATTCCCCATGACAAGTTTTGTATGGACAAACATTTTTCTATTCTCTCATATGGATATCAACGGCCATTCCCAGCAATGGACCGAAGTGCTAAAAAGTAGGATATCGGGTTATTGAGTCTTACTGGTGAACACTGATGAACAGAGATGGGACGAATGTTTAAATCACACGAACTCGTGACCACGAGTGGCTGAACGATTAAGAGTTCCAACCTGCAATTTGAGACTCTGTGGAGCTTCGTGAGATGCGCACCACTGATTATTCCCAATAAGGATGAAGGAACTGTACAGTGCTTATCGGCTTTTCAGCATAATTCGGCTTCGCTCACAGGACGAAACTTCCCACTTCTCCCTTTTAGGGAAACGTAAGAAAGTTATCGGACATGCGGTCATTTATTGGCATATGAACAACGAGGAGAACCAAAACCATTGTTGTGTTGACCAGTATGCCAAGAATTACAAGGAAGGAAAGTCAGAAGCTATTCGAATGAAAGCAAGTTTTTCGCCATTTCGAAATAGTACAAAGCAGCCAGGGATCAGTTCCCATCATTCCTATCCTATACGCCCGAATCCCGTCCGGATGTCCGGTTCTCCGAACAAAATCGGAGAGAAACTGGGTTTGAGTTTTGCTCTCATTAGAGCTCATGAGCAGTGCATATCCATGGCTGTACAGAGATTTCAACCATGTACGTCCGACTTGCAAGGCAAACATGTGACCACCGCTCCACCAGCCCACACCGGATGCACCCGAATTATCACCTCTGAACTTAAACGGCGTAACTGTTTCGGCCAACTAAAGGGGCAAGGATGTGCACCGCTAATGAGCTGTAATGAGAGGAAACCCGAGTATGATTCTCTCCAGCTTCCATAGTTTCCTGGGACATGAAGGGGGCTCTTCGAAAGAGGGTGATGTGAAAACAAGTCCCACAAAGCCCAAAATTAATTTAAACTGGTTAGTAAATATAAGACCTTTAATGTATACTAAAAAGAGTGAAGTCGTATGATTTGTGGAGTACTGAAATCCCATCGTATCAAAAGCTGGTCGAGAAATGTGTAAACGTAAGAAAGCTCACATACGGAAACCAAAAAATTGGATACTCAGTGCTCTTACCAGAAACAATTGAATTTCTGACACACTGTTGCAGAAGACAGTGAAGCTGTTAAAATAGGGTCGGTTGACTCGTGGCTGATTCGTATGATTCATATTCCGTTAGACCATCCGTACTCTGCAGTATGTGACGAATTAAAGCAGGAACCACTGTCAAAGTCAGAAAAAATACAGTTCGTACTTATTACAGCTTCCGCGCCGAGAAGTGTTCGAGATTATCAGGATAATAAATGGCAAATATAGCATGGAAGAATCTGTGAGACAGCTGTTTGTGTAAAGTTGCTGGATTACCAAATCTCCTGTTAGCCGTGTAGAGTATCTAAGCGTTAAATTCTCCCTCTCAGGTAATAATCATGTTCTAAATCTTTTCCTCGACTGTCTTCCGAAAATACAGAGATTGCAGAGGAGTTATGGCACACTGTTTTGCCAATCATTGTTCAAGTCCGACAAATGTTTTATGGAATGCTGCCACTGCCGCTCTTCAAGACAAATCCACCACTGCGTTCCACAGCCAGTGATCACTACCAAGAAAACAAGTCTTCACTGGGATATGGTCTACAGCTCACGAGTATTATCAAAAATAAGGTTTTAACCGGGTGTCAGCCACCCAAAACTGAGGGGCCAAGTTCGGCAATGCCTGGTTGTCTGATGAGTCGAATAAATGCAACTGCCTCTTCTACCGATCCTCATTTAGCGGAGGACCACAAATGTTCGGGGTTCACTGGAATCCTGCAGGTTTTCGACATTTCAAAACCAGCGGAGTTCAGATCCAATTGTCCGGATGTAGCTAATAAGATTGCGGAACCTCTACAGATAAACACATCAGAGCAGTCAACTTGGGAAAATGGTCCGCAATCTTCGGCTGTCACTGTATCTGTAAACCAACCTACTTCTTGCGAGAATCACACAGATGAGATTTTGAAAGACGCTTTCAAAAAGGCACCCGGGGAACCAAGTTTGCAGCAGGATTTACTTGTAGATAACGTAGACGTGGACAACACTGCTGAGATAACACCGTCAGCCACGGAAGTTAGTAGTCGGTCGCCAAAGACTCTACAGGCTGGCCAACAACCCCATGCACCTCATTCGGAAAAATACAGTTTGAATAGTTCGAAAAAATTGGTGAAGCTCTATGTTGGATCTATTTGCATCTCTCTGAGCCCTCAAGGCCTATGGTTAACATTTACCCCAACTGCGAGTTTGAACTCCAAGTTTTCAAGCGTTAGGGAGTTCTTGAACACAGACTGGTGTGGTCATCTTGAGTGCCGCAGCCAGTGGAATCCAGACTTCAATGTCAGTACCTGTTATAACGAACAGCTCCCAGAGACGACGTCTGTCTCGGCGTATTTCAATCAGACTGTTGCCATTCTGAAAAAAGGATTACAGCGCACATGTGCGGGTGACTTGCAAAAGTTATCCAAAGGTATCGGATGGTTTCCGGATCTATCAAAAATCCAGCAAGGTGAACAGTGCGAAGAAGGCAGAGCAGCAATCAAGATTTTGTGTCACCCAACACGCTTAGGAGGTATTCGGGTTTATGGTGCTTTGGATAAAATCATTTATCAAAGCGGACCAATAACTAGAAGCTCAGGACATCTGAGGTAAATTCAATTTGCATTTTTCAGGTTGTTTACTTTATACCTTAGTTTTATTTATAAAAAGGATAAATACCTCACTGTCCTGTATTGCATTCTTCAGGTTGACACGATTCTTGGAAAATTTGAGTTTCACTCAGCGCCAGTTTGTACGGAACAAGTAAGATAGTCTTACATTATCATCGCTTGAACTTTCTGTTTCTGAATATTCTCAGCAGTCGTGAAACACACTTGCAGGAAGAGTTGTGCGCAGAAATACATAAGTCCTGGCAGGCATCGTTTTGAGGGGAATACTTCAACTTCTTGAACTACCTTCTACGTGAATCTTGAAGTGATCTTTATGTGGGACTTTCGGAAAGGAAAATAAAAAACAGTTCCTGGTTAGAAATATCCTAATTTGCAAATTGGCATTCAGCTCTAAAGACGTAAAACTTGGTGTTCAATTACGAAATAGGGTTGATAGGAATTGTGAGGCACAACCGATCTGAAGTCAAAAAGGGTGATCCCAGTAATCAAAGAGATTTCACCATACTTAAAAGTAGTGTCTTATCAAGGGAAATAACCTGATATCATAGATATCGTTTCAGGTGAAAGATGAGAAACTACTTCAGAGGCTATGGTTTGAAGGATATCATAAATTAGCGAGTTTTCGAGAGAAGAATGCTGCATCACAGTTCTGCTCTATGATAGCGGCCCAAGTGTTAAGTCGTCTATCTCTTAACGTACATACCTTCTCCGCAAAAGAATGGTGATCAGGCAATTTTAAAGCTCCCGCGATTTGTTATAAAAAGTAGCTTAAACGTCCGCTTCAGTCAACAGTATCGGGCAGCAACTTCTCAGAGCACTAGACAAATGCAGTCTGTTACTTTTTGACGGTCATTAAACGAACCTATTTAACTAACTTTGATTGCTATAAAATGAGCTATACAGCTGTGTTTCGTCAAACTTGATAGCATAAGAAAGTTTATGAATTTAACTGAACCAAGCAGTTACTTCAGTTCACATTCGCCACGCGCGCAATTCTGAGTGATGGCCGTATAGTGGTTTAGGCAACGTTAGGAGGACATTTGACGAGCCTTAGTAAGGACTAAATGCGCCGTGTATTGTCTTTTAGCACCAACCACACTACAAAACCACGCTGTTACTAGGGTTATCCTTTCGCTGTTCAGTGAACTCATGTTTTACATTCAATGAATACTTCCGAGAGAGTAGATAGCGTTGGATTTCGGCCTTTGACGGTCAGCTTCTTTTTGGTATTTAGACATCGTGAAGCTCGACTTAGATGCACCCAGGATACAATTGCTCGAGTGGCAACCATTCTAGCAAACATTCTTAAGCAAATCATTGCAAGGAAGCAACATAGTCGCCCGGGGAGTGTATCATCCAAACAAGACGGCTTATTAAGTCCAGCAACATCAACTCTGAATCCAATCTGCTTGTCCGATTTCATCGGCTGGTTTTCCCAGTCATCTTACAATTCAGAAAGCAAGCAACGGCCGGAAATCGCGGAGATCTTTCAGTTTCTGAGGGCTTTCGACCAATCCACACCATTTGAAATCCTACAGAGTCAACTTATCCCCCACATGCGTGCATGGTTTAAAGTGAGTGAAGTATTTTGATGCTTCCAGTGGCATTTTAATTAAATTCCTGAAGGGCTAGTAAGTATGACTTGTTCGTAGTGAATGATCCTTGTATGTACTTTGGCTGTTGCGATGGTTGGTTATGATGTGTTGCTAACGTCAAAGGGGCTTTACAGCACTGAGTTGTAAACTCCACTTCTCTTCCATTGATCGATCGAGGCTTTCGGCAGTGGTATTAGAGGCTTTTACTTGAACCTCGACAGGAAATTTAGCAGAAAGACTATCTATAGGACCAATGTTTCATTTTATATCCAGCTTTTTACAAAAGATGCACTAGATGTGGTTGTATTACCTAAACTCACACACTATAATAATAATAATAATAATAATAATAATATAAAATAGTCGGGATGACCAACCCATCGGCCAGCCAGCAGCCCATTTATGGAAAGTTTACTGGGCTTTTAGTCCTACTATATTACTCTGTTTGAAGTTAGAGAGATATCCCAGTCCCAACCCATGGTTCACCACTCCAAGCCTACTAGTTTGCTTTATCGGTTCGTCTCTTTGTGTATCTATAATTCGGCTATTTAATTTCATCTTATACCTTCTTCATTAGCGTGGAAGAATTGGACTGGTTACATAATATCCAGACGTCTTGAATCTTCAACTTCTACGACAAACTTAAACGATTGGGCCAGATCATTAAAAATCGAACCGGTGATGCAATTAGATGCACACACCTTGTACAAAGCAATTCGCTTAAGTGCCACCTAGCGATTTTCAGTATGGGCTGCTTATACGACCTTCTTTTCCCCATATGGAAACAGAAAAAGATCTTATATGAAGCCTCAAATCATGTGACACGCTTGTAATCCCCTATAGAGGCTGAAGACAGCTATCCAAGATGATAGTTGTTCCAAGAACCTAGAGTGGAGGGTAATCTGTCATCATCTGACTCACAAGATGGTCTCAGTACTTTGAGGCTTTTGGGTGTTCGGTCAGATGCTGGGGAAATAGTTGTTCTTGCATGAAGAGCTAAGAGGTCAAACTCAGCTGAAGCAGTTTTGCCTACTAGTGTGGAGTTACCACCACTGTTATTACTCTTGGGAAGTAGGGGCCCGATAAATGAGTGCCCAAATAAATGGTGCTAAGGCTTATCCCCACTCCGATCCTTAGTCAACCATAGCCGAAAATGGATTAATCCTATGCGACCACATAAATTACAGTATGACACTAGGCACGGTGTCCCCACTGCAGGCGGTCACACCTTTTTCAGCAGGATGGACGCCAACACTAATTCCCCCCTCTATTTTAGGTGCAAATCGGCAAGTTTCCAGCGAATACTAGCAACGTACTCATGCAAAGTTTGTGCCCTGATGGGTTGATCTGATAACCATATTTCCACTATTTTCTTGAAAGCCCCACTAAAATTTTCTAAATAAATGCTGTAGTCATCAGTAAAGAATGGTAAAATGACCGGACTTATCTCCGAAAACATAGATTCGGGTATATATTTCGGTAGGCCAGTTACTTTGCAGAAGAAATGTGACATCAAACTGCCGGTTACGCTTTCCTAACCAAATAAGAAGTCGTGATAGAGAACCACGTAGAATCAACCCACGCTTCGCTTCGCTAATCCTAAGATTGGCTTGTCGGAACCAGATGAATTTGATCACCGCGTATGCCGAAAAACAACGATCAACGACAAAAGTCAAGGACGAGTCTTACACCGAATCAGATACCTTTCATCAGTCGGTCACTTTTGCAGTTGAGCTTCAGTTCACAGATCTGTCAACGTCGGTCCCTTTTTCCAGACATTCTTGGAGGTCGCGGTATTGGACTGCCGACGCCGATTATATCAGTCTGTTCAGAGTCTGTACTATCCGCTTGATCCCATCACTAACACGAGATTCTGCGTAACTAGTAATTTATGGTCACCGGGACTTACCGAAGCAGTGATTGCTCCCACCTAACTTATTGTGTAACTGCGCCCAGCCGGACTTTTCGAAGGCGTGTATGTAAAGAGGTGATGTGAAGAAGGAATGATTTAATGAACCGACTGTGAATTAGATCAATAGCTTCTCAGAATATAGCTGGGTATCAAACTTCACAAATCACATTATGCAGAATCCATCACCGTACGCAAGAAGTTTGACGCCAAACGTCTGGAAGATTCGAAACCAGGTTGAGTTATCGAAGTTCTCTGGTCTCTGCTGATAGACTTTATCTCATACAAACCTACTGATGGAAGCGCGATGAACGGGAGCACCAAATCCTAACAAAAAAGCTGGTTAAACAATAATGATAATAATATTAATAACTGCCTCAAGCATCGTGACTGAGCTGAAGCCGAAGCTTCGCGTATAAAGCAACTGGTAGCTGAACTCATCCCAGCGGACTGACAAACAAGCAAATGCTAAAAGATACTCGCGATTGCCTGATTCGGTCATTGTATAACACGAGTGATGATGAAAAAGGTAAAATGAATAGGTCAGAAGGTTCACTGTTTGGTGGCAGCACAAATAACTCCACGGTTACCTGAGAGCAACTTGTGTACCAAGCTGTAAGATGGATAAGAAGTCAAATACACAATTAATAAGTGCACTGCAGAAGTTCCTGAACAGTCTTCCAGGTGGCACATGAAAACCAGCGATAGTGATTAGCCGTTCTGAAGAAAATGGAACAATGATTTCACCTTTCCGTGATTATCGGAGATTGAACAAGCAAACATAATCGCGGAATGGAAAAGCAGTCCAAAAGACATCTATGCAGCAAAACTTTTCAAGCATAGTGATCCGACCGTGATAAGCGCACTGTCCAATGAACCGACATCTGCCGGAAAACGGTATCAAAGGGATTCAAGGATCTTCCGGTCATGCCGTCCCAGAACAGATAACCATCATAGACTTTACCCGATAACCACGGAAAGATTCGACTGCCGATTAGTAAAGGCGAACTGCTGGCAGAAGGCCTACGTAGTCGTTAATCTACACAGGTTATCGAGTCCCACCTTCCAAAATAGCAGTGTGTTTCCCATGCTGTTCGCAAAACAATAGATCCAGCATTTGCTTCACGAAAGCTTGAAAAAAAATCCGGTGAATATCTCCGACCTATACATTTCCCTTTCTTGACTTTACTAACTGAAACTTACTCTGAACAGTTCTTGATTAGCATGCCTGTTCGCTGAGACAGAAGAATCTAAAATCCCACGACAGAACGGCTGAAAGAATGCGAGTCACTGGATCAATTTCAGGCGGTCATAGAGTTATCAACAACATACCCCTACACCTGTTCTCTTCAGTCTGTATATAACGTTCACTGTGGATTCAGTTTTCGTAAGCGACGATCATGGTCGGTAGTTCAAATATCTGCTTGACGGAAATACGTACGACAGTAAATGTTTTTGTGCAAAGGGTGTGACATACCAGGGACAGGTTTACTAAAGGTAGTGTGCTGTTTGCGTATACGCAACCAGGTTACGTCAGCTGTTGTACATCAGTGAAAAACTCTTCGTTATTCAGCAGTCTTCAGTCGTCCTCACATCACCAGGGTAAATATTCACCACCCCCACGGGCAGATTACTTTTTCTACCTCGGCAGTGCACATAATTCACTTTACACCGGCTGTCTTCTGCATGAGTGTCAGCCGAAATCTGATGTCTCAATCACAGCTGTCGAAACGCCGTGCCTTTTGATCTAACTTTTGGTCGTCAGCTTAGATACCGTGTTACCATGGTTAGTGTTTTTTTGACAAATTCGGCATAAAAACCAGAAGTTTGAAGTTGGAGTCCGAAAGGCGTACCCAGGGCGCGCCGTATTTGGTGTAACTGAAACGCTGTATCTGATCTGTTCTCACACGCCCTGAAACGGCGGCTTGGTAACAGCTAGGCCGAAAAAGGCCAGCTGTAGATCCTCTTCGGCTGGTGCGTTGTGGTGGGGCAAAAGCTGACTGTAGGAGATTGGCGTAGAACGAATTGAATCAGTCTCAGAGTAGCTAATATGTGGTCGGTGGAACACCAAGAAACTGAATCCTGGTAACCATCTGGACACTAGTTTGCGAACTGCGATCGTCAGTCTCCTTAAATGGGGAGCAGAAGCAAAAAGGAAGACGTTATGGGGGGGGGGGACACGATGCGATTCCACACCTCAGCAATTGACACGATGTTGACCTGAGACTGATAAAACTGAGTTTCCGTGACCGTCGCTCTATGGTCCCATACACACCATGCCACGGCTAGCCATAGTAACCCGTACGAGCTTGACTTCTGAGCACTTCAGGTCACCGGTCTATCTAAATTGAACAGCCCTGGATGCAACCGTTTAGTTGTCTCCATGTGGGTCTGTGAATGACACGCCATGAGTACTTCGAAGTTTTTAACCTGAGCCGATGGAGAAGTGAATTTCAGTGATTATCATGGCATTGGCCAAAGCAAGGCTAACTCTAACTGCAGGACTTACTGGTAATGTGACCACCTGCAGCATGTCAGTTGGGTTTAGCTACTATATTGATTTTATTCGTTCTCAGGTTTTATTCCCTAGGCTTCACACCTGTTAATGGACGTTTTTGTTTGCACACGTGGCGCGGATGTTGTCTCCTAGGTCCATCGGCGTATTTAGACTTGACTGGCAAATCCTCAAACGGAAACCAAATCACCATACCATAGTTCGCCGGTAAATTGACATCAGTTTAGTGACAAAAAGATGAGGGTGTACGTACGGTATTGGACGTCGTTCCTGGTGGGGGGACCTGGGATATGCCAAGACGTTGAGTTTTAGTTCAGTAACTTGCTAGTTATCTGCCAGAAGATGAACCGAGAAGTGGTGAATTTGGTGCAGTTGCGGTGGATGGTCAAAATCAGTGAGTCTATTGCAGAAATCCGAAATTAGATAAAAGGTTAGAACAATGGAACTTTTTAAAAAGTAATATACAGACTATGCAATGGTGGAACTTCGTTTCCCATAACAGTAAATTCAATTAACAACTACTAGATAAAATCCACATAGAGACAGACATACCGTTCCTGTGTCATGAGCTTCGGTCAACAGTCCTTTTTTCGTGAGACAGAAGAAACAAAACTGTTTGATCACCGTTTTCGGGCTGATTTTTCTGGCTCTCAAAGTAATCAAAAGCAGCCTGATAACCACCAAATTATTCTATGTGAGTCCCACACCTAAAATAATGAATTTGAAATTGGATTTATGCATATCTGACGGTGCAAAATTCTCCGCAATGATCTGGAGAAATAAATTCTGTCCCTCTATCCATATTTCGTCAAGGAAAAACTTGCACGAATCTACCAAAGTGAGAGACTTGCCCAAATGCTACCTGAATTCAGTGGATCAGAAGGAAGTCTGTTGGAATCCGTTGTACTATCCGTACCCACACTGTTGCGGATTTTCCGAAAACTAATTGCGGCGGTTGAACTGGTAAGCTGCAGACATACGCCATTTTTTACACTCTAACCCTGCTACAATCAATCCAGTTAGTAAAAAGTAAGTACTTAAATTACAAATCTGACGACATACAAGTTGCTCTTTTTTCCAAGTCTATTATCAGTATAGTACGTCAATTTTTTAAACGCCATTGAGGGGTCACTTAATTATATACCAGTCGCAATTACTCCATTTCAAGAAGTTCCTGATGACAATTTTTACTGGCTAACCAAGGCCAATGTATGTTGTGTGTTTTGGTTTCCTCATCACCTCCAATTAACTTCCATTCAAGCCCGTTTAAAACATAAATAAGGCATGATAAGAAAAATATAGAATGCAAACTCGAGTCACAAAGACCATTTTCCTTAGAGCTCAGTAATTAATGCAGATAGCATGTGACCACTGCAATCTATGGATCAGCCAATGCAACCATGTCCTCCACAAGGGAAACAGACAGTGGGATACCCTCAAATGACTTGAGAAAGACCATTGGGGGTGGCCTTTTTTCACAAAAAATTCAAAGGCTCTGGTAAGTTCTGAAAATCAGACCCGTTTCTTTGTTTGTTTACTTAGGAGGCTTAAAGGCTGATTTCGACGCAGCCGATATTCGTTGAAACGCATTTGAAGCAATTGCGCCTTTTATTAACATGAAATATGGATCAGGTAACGCTTACACTACTCAAAGGTTGCTGAAAACTTCTCGGCAGCCCACGACCGGTATTACCATTCCCGGGACGCAGTCCCCGAGCTTCCGTCAACCTTGTATTCTAATTGAACCCAAATTTCACGAAATTAGCGAAATACACTCATTTGCATGCTAATTTAATTTTGACAGGAGACTCACCTGGAACCCAATTGGAACTCTCGTTTATGATGAGAACTGCCTGGTGCAACACATTCGGTTGCTTAAAAACATCTAAATGAGAGATTCAGATGGTTTCTAGGTGAGTCGCCCTCAAAACCAAATTTGTTTGCAAATGAGTGTGTTTCACTAGTGACGAATGCTTGTTAGGCTGATGTTAAACTCCACTTGTGTTTTATGCACCAGCATGCTGTCGCCGATTTTTTAGTTAAATAGCCCAATTTAGTTATCTTCGTAGTTGACGGCATTCTTAGGATCATGTTAGTGAGTAGTATCAATATTATTTTATCCAGTGTATACTGCGCTGGAGTATAATCAAGATGTATTTTCCATTCTACTTAAGATTGAAAGGTACCCGATGCCACTAACCCAATTCGTCGTTATACCAGATCAGCTACTGACAAGAACCATACAGTTGCGCCCACAGGCGTTAACCATGGATACGGAGTCAGTTTCATTTCGGTCAGAATATCGCCGGAAGGTTGATCTTTCGAACTACCATTTGTATGCGCAACCTCTCGTTACGGTGAGGCAATTGCAGGATTGGGTTGCGAACACTATAAGAAAAATTCCGTGGTACGCCGCCAATTTTTTCCTCAGACTGGAGTTATACCTGATCAGAGCAGTACGGTCTAAACCGGCCTTGTATGATGCCTATATATGTGTAGATTTAGTGGACCCCATATGCCACTTAGTTGAGTGCAAACTATTCTACCAAACTATGAAGAATTTATGACTAGTAAACCGCATACTTGCCTAGCAGAAAGTTTTCTAAAAATCCTAGCGCCACTACAAACAAGATCAAAATTCTTATTTGCTCCCGGTAACAAGTACTTACTTCATAATTCTGAAGGCTTTTCTCCAGAAAATATTTTCGAGAATCGACGAAATCGTTATCGCTTTAGGTACTCAGAGGCTAAAATGGCCCGATATGAAAATAAGAATATAGTACAGGCTCCACCCCCGAGCAGAGTTGAAATTGGTTTCAAGAGGTCGAAATACGGTACCGGAGATCACATTTTGAACAACTATGATTACTCCTTCAGAAATCATGCATCCGGAGAGACAAAATAAATCAATTTAGCTCCGTTAGCTCATCACTGTCATTTTCAGCATCCTCAGTAAAGCATTCGATTAGAGGCTTAATCTCCCGGAGGAAACATTTGGTACACTAAACCACTTTTATCTCAAACTGGAGGAGATAATTAACCAATGGTTTACTCAGACTTGTCATAAAGCAATGGAGTTACCAGAAAAAAATGTTCGGCTGACAGGCTGGAGTTGATGTATTCAGAATTAGCAGACAGACCGGTTTTAAAAGTTCTATTGATTTTTGTGCAGAACGTTGGATGGGACAGAGGTGGAAACCAAACTCAGTGTTATGACGAAATGGCATTTTTGTGTGGCAGAGTTTCGTTCAGGATATATTTCCGTCTTGTATGAATAGCAATCTCGTACTCTCACAGCATGACTTTTTTTGATTAAATAAAGTCGAAAAACGCTTCAATGCAATCCATGATGTAACAGTATTAGGGAGGATTACGTTCCACTGAACATTCAATTTTTGGTTGTTGTGAAGTTCCTGTGTACCCTCATTTTGGCAAGCGAATAAGCCTTTTCACTGCCTTGTGTGACTTGGGCTTTGGTTTAAGCCAAAGTGACAAGTCTCCTCTTAGGAACAATGTTGTGTATTTGTAGTAGTTGTATTTGAGTACATTATGAGTCATTTTAATTCGTTTAAGCCGTTTCATGAATTTTGCCGCTACCCATAAAATGTCACATAATCACATAATCCTCTCATTTGTCACTTACTTCTGCGTCTCATTTAGTTGCAAATTGGTCACAGCAGTAGACTTCCAACTTCAAAGCAGCCGAAGAGAAAAGCGTTAGCTTCGATGGTTTAGCCAGTAGAGTGACGTTCTTTCATCACAAAGCCAACGTTATGTGGGGAACAGGAAAGCACTTTGTTACCACAGTATATTTTATTGCGTCTGCTCTTGTGCATGCTGTAAATTAGGTACAAGGATGACGTGAAACACATGGGCTTCACGTATGATATGCAGCAATCACGCTACGGTGTTCATCTGTTACCCCCAACTGTCGATCCCGTGAGTAAATTCGGAACTCGTTGGTATGCTGATTTTTCTAATTCGATGCGTTCTTTGTTCTGGTTTTTAGAGTTGGTTCGTTACTATTTCGACCTAGCATTCATAGATCTCGTTAAATGTTTCTTCGTTCACTCTTGTTTGACAGGCCACAGTAGGAACTCTGGGCAGAAAATTCCTCGGTGGAATTTTCAAATGGTATGGAACTAATGGAGGTCGACAAATCAAGTGGGCGAATCCTTTGAGACTTCGTGGTTTGGTGCGTGTGGTCACCTCTGACGTCGATCTGAATCAAGACCCGCACACTGTTGGTCGGCTGCTTGCCAATCCCGTGCTAGAACAGCGCCACATATCGCGTAAAACACTAGGTAGCAAAAAAACTAAACATCAGACCACGTCTCACACATCAGTCAGACAATACGCTGTTTTGATTCGGCCTGATCGGGAAGGCGCATTTCCAAACGAGTCAGCCAGCTGGATTGCTTTCGATCTTGGGGTGTACATTCATCTTACACATTATTTGATCCAAGTACCATTACTTGGTGATCGGTGGCCTCATTTGACTGACTGGCAAGTACAAGTAAGTTGTCATGACAGAATAAATAATTCTGCACTGCATTCGGACATTTTTCGCAGTCAAACTAAAGTGCAAAATGCAAATGGAGAAATTTTCCTCATTATGACGAAAGAACACGTAACAAATTCTCAATTGGTATGCTATATATTACTGACGACTTTTTAGTCGTAGCTAGGTACGGGATTTGTAAAATCCACATCCGCATCACTCTCGTTTGGAATGTCCTCTCCTGTTCCGACGCAATTATTCTCGTGAATCCACACGAAAGGGAAAGCCTTTTGTGTTTCGAGTTCCGCTCTTGTTATAGCTTATCAGCACTGTATAGTCCTGGTCGTGTCAGGTTTTGAACTCTGGACATCTGACAGGCGAAGCCAGTGTTTCAACTACACCAGCGCCTGGATTATCGCGTCTCGACAGGCGAATGCGATTGGTCTAAACCAACCATCACATTTAGTCGGACTCTCTGTCATTACCAGTCGGAATTCTTTTGCATTTTGACTGTTTCATTGTCCTCCAGTTCTTCAGTATTTCATCAACCATAAACTAAATTTACCATAATGTTAAACAAAGTTGGGGAGGTTAATTCTTAATTAACCTAACTTCCGTTATCTGCTCGAAAGGGTTCAACCAGTGGGATTTTGTGGGAAGTTCTGTCGGAACATCACGTGAACCCGGCAGGCGACCCAAAAGCCTACTGGGGACCACAAGGCGAGAAAATATGGTGCCTACAAACTTCGCAGACGGAAACAGGCATCGAAATGGGATGGCGATTTATACGAATTCAGGCTTTACCAGGCTGTGGTCAGAATAAACGTCTACAGTCCAGCATGGCACTGCGCGGGATAGAGTTTTTCGGGGTCGTCACAAAGCTGATTAGGACGCAAGATAAGGTTAGTTTTTTTCCGCTGGTTATTGGGCTTTTCCGCTCTAATATCTCTCTTGCTAATCATTAACAGAATGGCATGTTTGTGTTACTGAAAGTCTAGTGTTTCATATTGTTTCAGAAACTCACTTGAGGTGCCCTTCTAATGATTTTCAACAAGTGTTAAGTGTCTTTCACCTTTTTAAAATAACCTGACTTCAGTTACAAGATAAAGTACAGATCTTTCACCGCTTTCCTACACAGAGTGCTTTGTGCAAAATGGAGATGCAGGACATTCAGCACTGAACAAGAAAGTTCAAGAAAGCTCCTCACTCCATCTCACTTGAATTCAGTTGATAAACACGCATGGAGTTTCCGTTAATTCAATTTACTCTTCTTAGCATAGACTTCCTCCGACCCTTTGAACAGAATTATATGGATGAAGGAAGAATTGCTCTCGTTTGGTTGTCATCTAAAATCAAATCGTTAAAATGTTTTGTTAAGAATTCAGTTTAGCATAGTTTGCTGCTAGATCAACATGTCGTATAAAAAGTTCATCTACAGAACAGAAATCGGGGTTGTTTACAATCAATTGGAAAAAGTTTGGANTCAAAGCACCGGTCTTAGATCTTGAGGATCACAATTATTCCCTATTACAAAATGGTACCAGTAGAATGTCATACACCTCTTCTACAGGCCAGTCGCAGCTGAAACCGACCTGTGACACAAACAATCCAGATGAGCGTTTCAGAGAGGCTTGGTGAATAATCTGTGGATTTATTGCTGGGCCCAGCAAACCTCTCTGAAACGCTGACTACTCAAATGGTCCCTATTATTTTCCGACTGATTGAATCTAAGTGAGATCAAGCAAGCCAAAGCAGTGTTCATGTTCCCTGTAGCAACTCACCCAGAATGAGGCCAAATCGACTAGCTTCTTTCGCAGCCTCTATAGCAGATTTCCGCCGCGCTCGCATCAATTTGTAATCATACGATTCGTGCGTGAGAGTTTTGTCATACGGGTTATAACGATATGCAGGCAATAACGGATTGGAAATCATGGCCGACTCTAAGTGGAAACGCCCATCACCAAGATACACGAGTGCGTCAGCATCTGTGATCTGAAAGCAAATAACTGACAAATGGAACTCTAGTAGAACGCGACAGAAAAAGAGGATTCTACGGAGAATTAAATGAAGTGTTTTGACTGGGGTCCTAAGATATCTTCCTTTATGATGGGGAATTTAATGACAAGCCTGTCGGCTGCTAATCATAATCTTGAGAACTATTTACGATAAACCACAGGTGCATCAACAAGTGCCTAATTTGCCTCACCGAATCAGTGGCAGACCGGAACATATGTTGTGAACAGAACTCACTGACCGCATAAATTATGTTGTGTCGTAGTATACGACCGCTACGCGACGGGTCATGCGGTCTATAACCTAGACCCCTTTTATTAACCCAACACAACGACTCCTGGAGCTATACAACTGTTCTCGTCGCTGACATAAACAATCTGAACCGACAAGAAAAACAACGCTTGTGACGAATTTGCATGATAACCTTATTGCCGCGAAGGGATTATCCGGTAGTTCACCATGAATTAAGGAGTGTAATCCAGGTTGCCCGTATGGACAACTATTGGGAGAACAGTCTGAAATAATTTACACCGTTTGCGGAGAAAGGCACCACGACCATCTGTCGGTACAGTTCAGTTCGGTTTAACAGCCACAAATCAAGAACCATGGATATGTCGGCTCCAGATGCTACAGTCTCAGTCACCGCATAGCTAAGTCACAACCGCTAGTGTCGTTAACCATTGGTGGATTGAATCTCGGGATCCCAATCCAGGGAGGCGGCAGTGGTCAAAGCGACAGAGCTTACTGGTTGGTAATTTCACGCCTCATTTTCAGTTCATTGACTGTCCACCTTTCCGTCGTTTTTACTCAGCATGGTGTTGGGCAAACAAAGGTGTCCGAGGCGGTCGGTCCTCGGTCCACGTCCAAACCGGGTCCTCTAACTCGTACTACTCCGGGGAGAAGGTAGCAACGCTACTTCCATAAATATGAATATTCCGGTCACCTGGAGAAAACATCCTACTACCTTTGCACTCCTGTGGCAGATGACAGTCCGACTTAACCTGCAGACCTTCTCATATCACAGTTAATCACATAGTTGGGGAGTTCGCTGGTTATCGTTTAGCTGCTGGTATTCCTAGTATAGCTGAAATTTTTGTAACGGATCATTACAGCAATGAAGCCTGATCAGCACGTTGGGTGGAAGCTTTGTTTGGTTGAGCACATAAACTACTTCCAGCGACTGAATCGAACTTTCAGCTAGTCTAAGCAGCGATAAGTATTGAATGACAAACTGTTGCCCCTTCTATTAAGTTGTTCTCAAGCCCCGGATGTTTTCATCCTTCGACTGGCAAAAAGCGAACCCTTGTTCTCAGTTTCCTACATTTGTGAAGGAGGACGCTGTGAAATCTAAATGGATGGCTCTGTTGCTAGTGACTGCGTTGATCAGTCGATGCGGTTGATAGTTTCTCGGACGCCTGATCATCAAATGTAAAAGAAAACCTCCCACTTAATCTGTTTCCTCCTTCGGTGAGGTGCTTTTTCTCCCCCACGTGGGGCCAAGCCGGTTTTTACTGATTCATGTATTAAATCGTTTACAGACAAACGTATTCAGTAATTTCCAATCTGACGAACAAAAAGTGAAATAACTAAACTACTGAATGAATTTGAAAAATGGTGGATAAGACAAACTAGCTAACCAGTGTTGGAGATGGTGACGACTCGAGATGAGCAAATGTCTTTTTTTGATGGTATAGAAAAGAGGGATGAGTGTGAAATGTGGTCTATTTCAGCTGTTACAACGGCCTAAAACATAGAATTGGTGGCCCCAGTCGTTTATGTCGAATGGACGATCGGCAGTTGCACTGACTACTTTGGTAGGGGAGGAGTATTTTTAAAAGAAACCAGTGAATGGAGTTGAAGCTCTTTCTTCTAGTCCGAGACTTGTGACCAGAAGCCTGATCCAGTGATGAGAGTTGCCCTAACAAGCAACGGGGGGATCGTCGCACAGCGTCAACTTTGATACACCCATTTTTGTTCCGCAGGCTTACTGATCACCGAGCATCTCTAGACAAAACAACAGAATATGGATATCTCAAAACATAGGGAAATCAAACTCATAGAATCGCAAAACTGAATTAGCTGTTCACTCCGGTTATAACCGGAAGATGGCTCTGTTGCTAGTGACTGCGTTGATCAGTCGATGCGGTTGATAGTTTCTCGGACGCCTGATCATCAAATGTAAAAGAAAACCTCCCACTTAATCTGTTTCCTCCTTCGGTGAGGTGCTGTTTATCCACCACGTGGGGGCCAAGCCGTCAACTCGGCGTCGAAACTTAGACTTAGACCAATAGAGAGTTCATAGGAAGCGAAGGAAAGTTGCGTCATTATTGATTGGAAGTTTTAGATAAAAAACTGATCCATGGGGCCTAAAAAGAGTAAACCACTGACTCACAAGGTTTGAGCGAATCAGTTAGCAGGCAGTCTACATTTAAAACGATGCACCTATCGATTACTTTGAGTCTAGTGACCAAAGGTAAAAGATGAACATAAATTACCACGTAGAAGAGCCTATACGGGTACAATTTTGGGAAAATTCAGTCTCCTATGGGGAGTTACTCGTGGAGATGTGCATCCCAGAACTTCTCCTGGAGATAAAGGCGATGACTGCGGTATAATCATCTTGAACCCATGCTGTTCCAAGGGACTTTTCGCCGCCTGAAGACTGGTAACGAACTGAATCGTAGACACGACAGCCAGCCGGGAGCCCTTCTCAAAATTGGCCTTCAACGTATCGATGAAATGGAGCAAATCGATGCCAATGTCCACAAATATGTACCTTAAAATAACGACAAACGGACCACTCAGTTGTTGCTTTGAAGGTCGCATTTTGGCTTGGTGGTATTAAAAACGCAATACTGAGACTTCTCACGTACACTCTGCAAACATGTGGTAAATACACGTTCCGAGAAAGATTCATGAGAAAAGTCGAAGAGTAGTGCGAAGTGCGAACACAGACTACATTTTATGGTTTACTAAGCTCTCTAAAAACCGTAGGCAATAAAACTTACGAACAGAACATCCGTGTTTGTTCCGCTGTATGAGCGCAAAGGAGAATCTCTCGGAAGCTACGGTCACACACGGAATAATTCCTTCATTCTCACCTCGTTTTGTCCCAGTGTCAAACAAGCTTGCAGCTGATAATGCCTGAGAAGCATCTACCTATTCGCCCAGTTTGCTAGGAAATAATTAATCAAGTACATCGCAATGATTTATGGCTCCATTCAGGTATCTAAAACACATAAACTTATAGAACTACTTTATCTAGACCGACTGAAGCGAAAATCTGGAGGATAACTGGTTAGTTAGGTAGTGTTCTTGGCATCAACAAAATTTGCACACAAAGCATCACCACCAGAAAAGTACCCAGATTTTGCCTACTCTGCAAAAAACAATCAATTCGACAGGTTACTTTATATGCAACCGCAAGGCTCCGCAATTTTTTACTTCTAGACTCAGCGAAATTCTCAGAGTAATATCGATATTCAACCTATCAGAACCAACCGAAGTCATATTTAAGAACAGTTTGGACAGTGACTCTCAAGCTCGTTGAGATTTAGGGCAACATAAAAACCAATCAATAAGATCTCTTTCGGGTGGTGCACTAAATCATTGTTGAAAGTCGGTTAAAGGTTTCAGAAGAGCTTGGTAAACAATCGGTAGTTTTTATTTGAGCAACGTTTCGCTTTTGACACAAAAGCCTCATCAGGCCAAGTGAACAGGTCACCAAATTGGCCAGGTGATAAGACAGACGGGGAACCAAT